CTTATTCTCTCAAGCCTCCTCTTGCATACTGGTGTTTGTGAACCATTAGAGGCATCCCACTTGGGGTGCTCAAGCTTTCAAAGGTCAAGAACTACAAGTCCTTCTAAGAGGTAAGTTATCTAACTAGTCGTATTGTTCATTTGACAATTTGTATGCTAGTTAGGATATATGATTTGGAAAATTGAAAATATGCATGTATAATTAGAGAAAACATTGATCCAAAGCATTTAGGGTTGCATGTACACAATAGGAATGTTATAGTGTTCAAAACCCAACAATAAGACCATTCATTTTTAGCATGGCCATGCCTTTTGCCATTTGTTTTTGGCTTGGTCATGTGTTTTTAGCATGACCCATGCTTTTTTTGAATCTAGCTTTACCACGAGTAATGTTGCTCAAATATAAGATGAGAAAGGACACATATGTGCTATATTTTTTTTTGAAATTTTGTTGATCTATTTTCATATTTTTCAACAGTGAAAATGTACTTATACAAAGGAAATAACAACACCATGCCACTTCACCAGTCACATCCACTTTTAATATATGTAATAATGCCAAAATATCAAATATAAAGAGCTTGCGCTTTAATGGTGTATTGGGTTGGAGTAATTTTACATCAAAATTAACCTAACCTTTCGCAGTTAGAACACAAGAAGTAATTTCTATTATTACTAAGGTTTGTGAAAAGAAGGGGATTGGTAACAGAAGTGGTGGAACACACGTGGATGCCGAAAGTAAGATCTTGAACTATATTAATTGTTAAAGCTTAATAATAATAGAAATTACTACATTTTTGTTCCAAATCTTATGTAGACAGGTAAGTTGATATAACTTCAATTTATGCCTTTCAATTTCTAACAACTTTTTTAAAATTTCTAATGGCATTTTTGGTATTTTAAGGTCAACTATGAGAAAGCAAGAATAGACTCCTCTTATTGACATCCCTTCACAAAAGATTGAGGGTCAAGTTGTCGTCAATGTTATTTTAGGTCAATTCTTCATATGCTTTTGATTGTTTGTTGCAGAAGTTTATATGCATTTAGTAGAATTATTTTGTATGCTTAATGCATTGCCCTTAATTTCATCCTTATGCAATCCTATAATCCCCAATTTAATTTTTTGGCTTTTAAGGGAATCCAACTGTGGAGACAACTAGTGACAACTAATATCGGTTTCATTAGATGGGTACAATTGCCTTTTTTTAGTTGCACACTTTGTCTTGAAAAAGGATGCACTGATTACCCTGGTAAGCAACAAAGTTTTCTGTTAAAATTCTTCCGTCATAATCATATAACTATCCACTATAGTAATACATATCGTTTGCTTCTTAAGGTATGTTAAGGTACAAGTATGAAAACAATATAGTTATGAATGATTCTTCTCCTGATGTAAACACACCATTACCCTTTCAACTTTATGGTAATGGTAAACTTTCAGTTTTGCTCATGGAATTATGATTAACTGGAGAGGAATTTGCAATTAGAAAAAAAGTCACTGAACCTAGAACCCAGTTCAAGGTGAATGTTGATTTTGCTTTGAAAAATCATTTAATTACAAGAAAAGATTACAACGACTTATTTCGAATAGTACTAAAGTGTGAAGATGCAGCAAATAAAAGTGATGATCTCTTTCTAATTTTATTATTTACTTATATTTTCGGTAATGTTGTATACATATAAATATCGATGTTTTCTATTTTTTAGGGACAAATGGTAAAAGACATTTGCCTTATGCCCTGCACGTATGTGGATGTTAGATTATTAAATTTGCCAATAAATTATTATGTTAATTTGAGTGAAGTATATTGTATTCCTTTTGTTTATTAATTTAAATTTTAAAGAAAAAAAATACCTAACAATGAACAAACGTTAAATTATATTTACGAACATGGCAGCTATGGTGGAGGACCTATGCATACAAGTTAGATTTTGGTCATGATGATTGACCGATTAAAATTGTATTTTCTTTATTTTAGTGCATGGTGTATAATAAAAGCTTTTTTATTTGAAGGATACTCACATTCTTTACTTTTGGTAGATGCCACATCTTGTGCAACAACTTACGTTGCTGTTAATTCACCTATCACCTTAAGTCATCATAAATGTTTGTCATCAATCAACATTTATTCATCAATCACGAGGTGGTTGTTTTGTGGTATAATATATAACTCAATTCAATTATAAAACCTATAACTGTTTTTTATACATTCTTTTGGCATTTGATACAACTGCTTTTTATTTCCACATATAAGATGTACTCATTTTTGTGCAGATTGAAACATACAAGTGGAGGATTCATAGATTGAAGTCGAACATATTTAATCAAAACATTTTATGTATCCAATTAATAAACCATCTGAATTTTTATTTCATTAGTTATGCATGATTTTGGAGAAATTGATATATAGCTGCATAATATATCGCTTTTTAGATAACTATGTTTTGGTTCAAAAATATTTAACCGCGTTATGGAATCTCGACATGGATGGTAAGGTGAATGGGGCTGTTGAAACTTGTTGAAGTTCCATTATCTCTGCCCCATGCGAAGTATGAGTCGTCATCTAGTTATATAATTAAATTCTTAAAAAATCATTTTTTGTATAGCTCAAAAAGATATTTTATATATAATTTGAAACCATAGTGATTCTATTTTATTGGGTAATTAAAAAAATATTTTTTTTGTTATAAAATTATTTTATTTTGAAAACTTTTTTAAATATTAATACTTTTTCTAAAAACTTTTACAAATGTTAATGATTTAAAAAAATAATAATAATAAAATAGTTGTTTTCCAGACATATAATTAAAAATATAGTTGGTTTTTGAAAATTTCTCGCATAAATACTTACTATTACATAAACAGTTGCATATACAATCACACCCATTAATGTATAAAGGGTAAATTACATCAATCATCCATCGTGCATATGTTATAAAACGTGTTTAATCACTATTTTAAAAAATTAACTCGGACCGTCCCATGATTTGTTTTTTCTTGCACGGTTAGTCCTTATGGATATGAAATGACTATTGTACCCTTAACAATTTCTTTTTTAATTTCCTTTTATTCATTTATTAGTTTTGCATTAAAAAGAAAAAAAAAATATCTTCACCCTCCCTTCCGCTTTTCTTTCCCGAGTATTCCCCTTTTCCTCTCTAACTATCGACGGACAGCAACCATGAAGCCGCCGACAACCATGAAGCAGCCACTGACGAAATCTTCTCAACCACCGTCTTCTCTCTTCTACAACCCGGCCGACGACCACTAATCTCCTTTATTTCTTTCTGTGCATCGCATTAACCATGTCTCAGCCACTACAGGTGTAATGCAATCATCGGAGCAACCATCGCCGCCATCGCCCATTGTCTGTACACCACCCTTCAACTGCACTCCTGTCAACACCCTTCATCTACGCCATCATCCTCATTGAACCGAAAAAGAAGAACAAATCTGCTATTTTCCGCCTCTGCCTCCGTTCGAAACCTTAGTTTCGGTGGTACCAGAGGGTTTTGTGTCAAATCAAACTTATTACAAAGTTTCAAGTTGGAAGAAATCGAGTCTGCCACCTGGTACTTTTCTGATGCGGGACAAGAGTTTGTTGGGGAGGAGAAATTTCTTCAGTTTACAAATGGGTTTTGAGGGATAGATCGGTTGTGTCAGTGAAGTGTTTAGAGGTGGATGCTTTTTAGTGTATGATTTTGCATCAAAAGGGAATTGTTGAAGGAAGATCCGGGTTAAGTTTAAAGTGGGTGTTGGTTGCGGTTTGTGACGGTAAACATGGGTGCGACACGAGTGTTCCGATGATGGTTTAACCCGGCAAAGGAGGAGGTAGGAAGTTGGTGGTGGGTTTTAAGGTGGTATACGATGTTTGATTGAGGAAGAAAAGTGGAATAAGGGTGGAACTAGAAAGGTGGCGATGGAATTATGGTGTTTGAAAAATGCAGGTGGTGTGTTCGATCCAGCGGTGGTTGCCCTATTTTCCTTTTATTTTTAAAATAATAATAATAGTTATAACGTTAAATTAAATGGAAAAGAAAAATAAAATGACATAATAGTCATTTATGTCTCATAAGGGATGACATGTGCAAATTTAACGAGGGATGAAATATACAACTTTTAACCAAACGGAGTTTGGGGACGGTCCGAATTAATTTTTGAAAATAAAGACCAAACGTGCTTTCGGGAACATACACGAGGGATGATCAGTGTAATTTACCCATGTATAAATGACAACTTATATTATCCACAATGTGAGTTTTTCAAAACAAAAGCTTTAAAAAATTTTGAAAAATATATCTAAGAAACTTTTTCAAGGATTAAAATATTTTTAAAAAGCGGATAGCTCTATCAACTTTTGTGATATGTCTTTTAATGACGGGGGTTGATTTCATAGTTTTTATCATGATTGTCAAAATCACGATCATGATCGTAGGATCGTACGATCGTAGGTATGAAAAACGATCAAGATCGTATTTTGGTAGGATCGTAAGATCGTAGAATTGAGATCCAATCTGATCCTACCTTCACTTGATATATATATATATATATATATATATATATTTGCAAATGAGTTTTTTTTTACCACTTTATATATTTTACTCTTTACCAATCTACCATTTATCATTTTTTATTGTGACTTACGACTAACATTTTGAAATTTTATATATGTTGAACGAAAAATTAAATGTTTTAAATGATTAAATATTACAAATTAAAATTATATTTTATTTTGTGGGATCTTAGGATCTCAATCCCGATCTTGCAAACCATAAAACGATAATAGATAGGATCCCGATCTTGACAACATTAGTTTTTATACAAACAAAACATATATGATTTTTTTTTTACATTGTAAGCATATAAGAGATGTTTTTTTCTTCATAAAATAGCTACTTAAATCTTTTGAATTGTGATGCCCCTACACTGTACCAACATGGACCCAAATTCACATGGTTATTATCATGACAGACTATTGGCGCCAAAACGTGAAGAGAAAAAGGGTCTACTCATTATCCACCGGATCTCTCACTTTCATCAATCAAAACGCACAACCACCCCCAATCCAAAAAATATCTCCGATTGATAGATATTTATAATTTGATTGAGCAAAATATCTTCGAAGCTATTTTTTATTCTATAAAATCTTCAAAAAAATCAAGTCAATCATAAACATTTAATAAAATGGAAGCGGATAACAGCAGGCCAAACAGGAGCGATGCTCATTTGTCGAAAGAGGAAGAGGCGAAGATCGAAGGAGAAACAAGAGACTATTTCGATGGGTTAGCTCCCAGGCGTCATACGAAGCCACAACGCAGTGAGTATTCCACGAAATATGTTGATGGTTTGGGTTTGCCCAACGATGAAGATGATGGTGTTAGCCCTGAGTATCTAGAGTTTCAACATCTTGAACAAAATTCTGAGGTTTGTTCTTTGTTTTGTATATTATTTCAGTTTTCATAAGCTTTTATTATGTTCTGACTTTTTAGTTTTGTAAATAGTCAATTGTATAAATATAATTAGATATTAGAAGAACTACAAATTGTATTTACAAATATCATATTCAATTTCGTTTTATTCCCAAATATCATACAATATAATAACTTGTTTACCCTAATCATTCCATTCTATTCAATTAAACAGACCCTGATAAAAATAAAAAATGTTGAGACTAATTACCAAATGTCTAAAATACTCCTGATTCAACTGGACTTGTCAAATAATTGAAACTTTATCGTTTGGGCTTTAGGTGTACACATAATTACTAGGGATGCATAAAAACCTATAAAAAGTTCACTTTTAGGGCGTGTTTTTCAAATTCATCCAAAAAATGTTTTAAAAACATTTAATAATGACAAAATAAAGGAAAATTTTCTTCTTCGAATGATATATTTTTTTGTTGTTGCAGAAAATTGTTTATACAGGTAAGGAAGTGAGTGATGAGTTTGTGGAGACGGAATATTACAAGGATCTTAATGGTGTTGACAAGCAACATCACACGGTATATAATATTATAATAACATAATATATTTCCCTTTTTAGCTTAATAAAAATGTGTCATTAACTTTTCTTTAACGTTATATTTGGCTTTCTATCGCTATATAAACAATAAAAGGGCCAAATGCAATAAAAAGCAACAATAAAAGGTTCTGTTGTCATGTCATTGTCCACATTGGATGCACATATGCTCTTAAAGAAAATTTAAACCAGGTTTTCCATGTCAATATAATCGTATCCACATCAGATTTGCCATGTCAGCAAGCAAAATATATAATGGAATGACTAGTACAATAGGTAAAGCACAATGCCCTAATAAGGAATAACTATAGAAAATGCATAAAAACATCATATTTGCCTCTTTTTTGTTGCGTTTTTTCTTATAAGTTTACAAAATTATGATTGTTGACGTTGCAGACAGGAACAGGGTTTATCAAAGTAGATGACACAAATAGGGCTGGGTTTGAGTTAGGCTCTGAATCTGACAATGCTCATCATGCTTCATGTAAGGGGAATCCAGCCACTAATGAGTGGACCCCAGCACCTGCTGATATGGTAAAACTGAAATTTACTTTAATTTTATTTTTATAAAGATAAATATTTGAAAGAGATTTTGGTGAACTTTCTGTTTCAGGGATCTTTTGTCTCTGATAAACCTCAAAGGAGCGATAATTGAAATGGATGAATTAATTGCTTCGGATATTGTTGAAATCGAATAGCAAGACAAGTAGATGAGAAACAAGTTTTGTGAAATGTGGGTGTATTCTATTTCTAGTTGAAGATTATGTGTAGTTTTGTTATGAGGATTGAAACTAAAATGTGTTGTTATAAACATATATATAACTTGCTGCTGGATTTTTCACTAGCATGGAATGATTCATATTAGTAAGATTCAATGTCTAAATTCAAGTGTTGGTATTGGACCAATCATTAAAAGACATGACATCTTAATAGTTTAAGACATGCATAATACAATTGTGAATGCAACAAAAGAATACCAGGTAAATCCATGTCATTTGGATAGACATGATACAAATCTAAAGCACTATGGAAGAATTGAAGATATGTTTTGATGTTATAAAAGTGTTAATAAGTGTCAATGTATGAAGTTTATCAAAGTGATAGATATGAGTTTCAAAGTCAAATCTCTATGTCCTTAGTTAGTCACTGGTGTTGGCAAAAGTAACACCAAAAGTTCCAAAGCACGGTTAATGGTTTTACAAAAGCTAAGCATGTTCAACATATAATGCAAGCTCAAAGCCACATGAGATGCAACATAGGCAAGTACAAATCGGAACTTTGATGGTTGCTATATGTGAGATAATTGATAAAAAAAAAAGTCTTGTGTTACTAGCGTATATATAAAGATGTGATCCTTGCCTCAAAATGCATCCTCTCAAGTTGGAGATTTTGGCTAGGAGTTTGTAGGGTGTGTTACTTCTGTTTTCCTTGGATCGATTTCTCTAGAGTTCTAACCTTAAGGTTTTTCCGAAATACTGTTGCACCAAGACCAATTGTTGTGTGTGTGAACTGACGGAGGTGCTAACTTAATCACTACCAATGTGTGGCTACTTAAACCTACAACAGACAAATTAGAACCTCAATGTAAGTGTGCTTCGATGTCTAATCCATGTTAGGTTATAATTTGTGCTATTATTGCATCTTTGATAGATCTAATGGTAAGTTGGGGCTAGCCTACTTGGCTAACATGAAGGTTCATAATCTAACAACTAACTAGAAGGTTCTGGATTCAATCCCAGACAGAGGTATTTAATTATTTGTTGTTAAAAAAAAAAAGATAGATCTAATGGCAGTTGCTATGGTGAATTTGATTTTACCATGTAAATTTTGGAGTTTTTGTTCATTGGTTCCATGTTATATAGAGAAAGAAAACTAAGAAGGTTTCGTTTATTATTAGGGAAGGGAGTTAGTTTAGATGGATCCCGAAAAGGTCCAATAAGCATTCAACTAAATCTTAACATAACCCTAGTAGACTAGTAATAGTAGCTTCCATTAAAAAAAACATCGAGAAGGAAAAATAAATAAAAGAGTAAATTACATTTTTAGTCCCAATAGTTGGTTTCTTCAATTTTGGTTTCAAAAAGTTTTCTCTTGCAAACTTATTTAAGGTTTTTGTTTCAATTTTGATCCTTGTTTCAAGTAAAATGACTATTTTTTAGAACAAAATTGCAAAAATTAACCACACTAGTTAAATAAAAAATAATCATTTTACAAGAACTTCAAATATGGACCAAGAGAAATTTTTTAGTGTCATAAATATAATTTACTCTAAATAAAAAGATCAAGGGGGTAATAAATGCAAACAAATTCGGTCTCTTATAGGCATACCAAGTGCTTGATTTACATAATATAGGAAAATACATAATACATAATAAACATTATAAACATGAAACGAAACTTATTTATTATATCCAACCATCTTTCTTTGCCACTATTCTTTCTAAAAAGTAGCTAAAATATGTTACCACTTGAGGTGGAGGCTGGAACTATGCAATTATTATTATTATGGCACAGGGCATTCGTGTATGTTCCAAATCTCCTTTGCATATTGAGAGATAGTTCTGTCACTACTAAACTTCCCACTGCCAGCTGTGCTCAAAATCGACATCTTTATCCATCTTTTCCTATCCCTGTAATTTGTAATGCAACACAATAACAAAATCAGTAAAGCAAAGGGTATTTTGGTCATTTTAATTTATAAAAATATATATATATATATATATATATATATATATATATATATATATATATATATATATATATATATATATATAAAAAGGTTTGAGAGATGTTTACTTATATGCTTCATCCACTTTAGCTTGAATGTCTATGTAGGTTGGGAAGTCATGTCCAACAAGAAAGTAATCCCCACGCCCATACCCAGAGTTCCCTTCTAGAGAATCAAGAAGTGGGTTGTAGTCATAGTTTCCAAACGCCTTTGATCTTATGAACTCTTTAGCCTCTTCGTATCGAGGATCCGGTTTAAACTGAAAATTCAGAAAAATAAATAAATTATAATATTTAATAATTAACCATACACAAACCAAATGTTTTTTTTTTTTTTTTTTTTGTATTCTGACCAGTCCATTTTCTCGGTCTTTCCTGAGCTTGGGAACTTCATCTGCTGTTGCTCCAAAAAGGAAAAAATTGTCCTCTCCAACTTCCTCCCTGATTTCAACATTAGCCCCATCTAATGTACCTATAATCAGGCATCCATTGAGTGCAAATTTCATATTACTTGTCCCACTGGCTTCCATGCCAGCTGTACTTATATGCTGTGACAACTCACTTCCTGGTATAAGTACCTCCGCCACAGATACATTGTAATTAGGCACAAAAACCACCTGCAATAATACAAAATTACAATAATAAATGAGTTCACAAAAAAAAAAAAAAAGATATGAAACCACTTTTACCTTCAAGTATTCATTAACTTCAGGATCGGTGTTCACAACAGCACCAACATCATCCACAAGTTTGACTATTCTTTTAGCATTTGTATATGTTGCAAATGCTTTCCCTCCAATCATGATTGTCCTTGGTGTTGTGGCTTTTCGCTCTTCAGGGCTCATTTCCTGTTTCAGTATGGAATGTTCTAGAATCTTCTTCTATGATACAATCTAATCCGTTCAGTATTTAACTAGAAACGTAATGTACCTTTAGTTTCTTGTACCTATAAACAGCACCCAAGATATTCAACAGCTGTCTTTTATATTCATGGATGCGCTTCACTTGAATATCGAAAAGGGTATTTGGGTCAATTGTTTCGCCTGTTACTTTCAGTATGTACTGTGCTAATCTCTGTTTGTTGGCCATCTTGGCTGACTCCCATTCAGCTTGAAGTTCTGGATTGTCAGCAAACTTTTGGAGAGAGAGAGACAGAGGATATGAATCAGCAGGAAGTATGTAAATCCTCACAGTAGAGGGCATTTTGGTCATTTTTTTACATTAAATAGAAAGCAGCATACCTCCCGCAGACCCACAAGTAGGTCTAGGTTGGTGACCCAGTTGTCTGTTTTTAACCATTTTGTTATGATCTGACTAAGTTCAGGACTACAAAATCTGAGCCAACGTCTAGGAGTAATGCCATTGGTCTTATTTTGGAACTTGTTTGGCCATATTGACACATAATCTGCAAATAACTCTGCCTTTAAGATGTCACTGTGCAATTGTGCTACACCATTAACCTGTCAAAATAGATAAAAAAACAAGTCGGCTGAATTGATGGGAGCCTAAACTATCCCTAAAAAAAACACAAAATTAGTTGGTTTTTCCTACATTTATAGTATTCAAACATCATACCGTATGCCCAGAAACCACACACAAGTTTGCCATGCGGACAACCGGCTTATTAGGGTTATGATCCAAAATCCGCATATCAGAAATCTTACTCTCAAGGTCAGGACGTGTTGACTTTATCATCGCAATAAACTGCATAAATTATACAAATATATATTGTATTTGAATCACCAATCAAGTATATGTTATTTATAAACTCAAGAAAAGAAAAAACATATTTAAAACTAAGTACCCGTTTGTCAATTTCTTCTATAATTTCCATGTGGCGAGGAAGAAGCTTTGACATCACAACTTGTGACCATTTCTCCAATGCCTCAGGAAGAACAGTGTGATTTGTATAAGCAATTGACCTGGTCAACACTCAACATCAACCTCTTTGTTATTATTTAAGGCCCAAAGCAAAAAGTAACATGTTTTTTGTTTTTTTTTATAAAATTTATAAAGCACCTTGAAGTCACATCCCAGGCTTCATCCCAGCCTAGCCCTTCTTCATCCATCAACAATCTCATAAGTTCTGGTATTGCAAGAGTAGGATGTGTGTCATTCAGTTGCACTGCAACCTTTGTAGGAAACTCTGACCACTCCCGTTTTCTTCCTTCTTTTCTTTCCTTGAATCTTGAAATAATGTCCTAAAAAACATAAACATTCAAACTCTATTGTCTTATCTTTTAATACTTATAAATCATCGATTGTCACAAATGCAAAATAAAAACATTGTCAAACCTGCAGTGATGCACTGCATAGGAAAAATTGTTGCTTTAGTCGAAGAAGTTTTCCTTCTTCTGTAGCATCTCCAGGATAAAGAACAGCACAAATCTGGAGATAAAAAAATTTTAGTTATAGCATTTCCATGATAAAAAGATACGAACTTTCTGTCAAATTGGGAAAATATGATTTAAAATGTGATTAGGTTTTACTAATATAGGAAACATACTTTACTCTTTTTACTAATATAGGCAACATACTTTATTAATATCAACATACTTACAATTCTTTATAAGATAATAGGTAAAAGAGAAAGTACATTGCCCATATTGGTAATGAGAGTAAAGTATGTTGCTATTTATGGCAATTTCCCCACCTGTTGAGCTCTAGCATGTAGCTCAGCAGCAGACTGATATTGTCCATCATTAAACTGAAACAAGTTGAAGTCCTGAGCACTTGCTTTGGCCTCCCAAAGGCGAAGACTATTTGTGTTTTTAGTTTTGTATCCAGGAATTGGGATGTCATATGCTAGGGCTTGTAGAACCTCTCCATCAACCCATTTTCGGCTGCAACATATTTAGCCAAAGCCAAAGTCAAAGTCAAAGTCAAAGTCAAAACAAGATATTTGTAGTTGTGCTTACGATCCTGTGGGGAGGACTTCAACACGACCAAAGAATCTGACAGGAAACACAACATCATGCCTGACAACTTCCCAAGGACTAAACTTCTGAAATAGTAAAGAGAATTAGAAATGATTAATTGTAAAAAAATAATTAAAATGGAAATCTAAGGTGGGGTGGGGTCCGCACCTCGAGCCAATCTTCTGCCATTTCTTCTTGCCCTGATTTAGAAATGCTCTGTTTGAAGAGGCCATACCTGTACCTTAAACCATACCCCCATGCTGGTAGGTTTAAAGTTGCCATGGAGTCCAAAAAGCAAGATGCAAGTCTCCCTAAACCACCATTCCCAAGTGCCATATCTTTCTCCTACAATTGTTATAATGCAATAGTTTAAAAAAAAATAGAACAGATTAATCATGTTAGAAAGATTTTAAAGAATTACCTGCTCAGTTATTTCTTCAAGTTCATGTCCCAGTTTGTTCAAAGCACTGGAATATGCATCTTGAATATCAAGATTCCCAATGGCATTAGTCAATGCTCGCCCTTGAAGAAACTCCATGGATAAGTAGTATGTTTGCTTTGGATCAACTTTGTGATAATGAAGATAAGTCTCATTCCATTGCTGAAGAAGCAGTGAACAGAAAAAGAAGCATGATTAGTTCAGAAGATAGATAAACATATTTTTTTGAGAACTTTCAGAAGATCAAAGAAAAAAAAATGTAACATGTATGATTATGAACGAGTTATGACTTATGATATGATAACAACTTCAAGGATGAATATTTTTACTTGTATCAGGCGATCACGAACACTTTCTGCAGCTGCATAGTATGCTTGCTCAGGCTCAAATTTGATAGGAGAAAAATGTGGACTGTATTGAGAATGATACTTGATATTGGATGCAATATCTGTTGGATCTTCTGCTAGAGGGTGAGCAGCAACAGGGATCTTATCAGGGGTCTTATTGGCATCACCATTGGACTTTGTGGTAGTCTCCATCCCTGGAATTTCCAGAGACTATTCTACTTTATATACTGCAAAGTTGTTGGGAAGGAGGGGAATTAGGGATGAACAAATAAGGAGACTTGATTGAAGATACTGGAAAAGAGCTATCTGTATGACAATAAAGTAATAGAATCATGCAAAGTTGTGGTCCTTGAAGATTCAAAAAAGGTGTGTACTAATTGAGTTTGTAACAATGATATGATGGAATATATATGTTGGATCTTTTCCGTATAAGGTATTGCTAAAGCAAATAGCAACAACTACAAAGATAATGAATGATCTACTAAGATGGTAACTCGGTAAGTTATATTACAGACAAGAATATAGAGTCAATCATATAATCAATTGACAGAAGTTAATGGATAGTTAGGTAATTGTGCACTAGTCTTCAAATCTGGTAATCAATTGATAATTAGGTAATCAATTAATAGAACTTATAACATTCGATAAGCCCAAAATCATAATCATAATCTTTTTTCTTGAAACACTCAACTGAATTTGAACCCGCATCCAAAATTCTAAACACTACAGAAGTCTATGTTTACCATAAGTCAAAAATGATACACCTCATCACACTAGAATTGCAGGTTTCACTCAATACGACGTTGATAGCTCAATAAAAAGCCTGAAACACCTTTCGTTAACTAAATAAGCGATTAGCATACAATGATTGTGGGTATATAAAAATATTAACTCCGAATTTCACAAAAAAATAAAAAAATATACGAATGCTAGTAATTTTTGGGGCACATCCGAAACAAATATTGTTGAGATTTTCATAAACCGCTGGGAGATACATATGACAAACCCAAGCTCAAGCGAAATCAAATTGGAAAAATGATATAGAAATATAGCAAACTACCAAGTCAATCACAAAAGAACTAACAAAAACAAACTAGATAATTATAACTCGGAGTTAAGGTCAAAAGCACTTACACAGTGTAATCAATCGTCGACTACACTTACAGAAAAAAAAAAGCAAAAGCCTCTCAGGGATTGCAATGTAGTCTCAAATTTGAAACTATAGTGACAAACAAGTCTATTAATAGCAAAAATCAAACAGATATTTTGATGGAAAGTTCCAAAAAGCGATTTTAGAAAAGTACCCGATGGAATATGCGTAGTCTTCTGCAATGTGTAATGTGTGTGTGAAAGAGAAAGCGAGAAGATAAGTAATGGAAGTCGGTGAGATCACGTATGATTGTGTGGTGGTCGAAAGTGAAGACGACGATGATATTTTCAGTGAGCTGAGAAATTATAAATATGTGATATTTCGCGTGGCACGTGTGGGATGACACGTGGGAGTTCGTTGTAAGGAAAGTGAAAGCGCGCATAACAAGATTGAATAGCATAGAGATCCGAGTTCGCATAAAGTTTTTGCGATTCTCATTTTAAGCCCTTGAGATTCCGTAAATGATCATTATACCCCCTAGTGTTTTCAAAAATACCATATCCATTGATCCTTTAAGCTTTAGAGTTTGTTACAGTAAGCTTCCATGACTCGAGACAACAAGTCATATACATGTAAGAGTAGCAGCTTCCATTGTTTGAAGTGCTTTTCAAACCGACTATTAGAAGAATATAGTACAGAGTATACTAAATATATTAACTATTATTCATACGTCCAAAATACTCGATAATATAATAATAAAACGTCATACTAAATTTCAAATAAATATTACGTATGCAAATTAATTTATATATGCTTTTGTAATCATGCTAATAAGATTGAAAAGGAATGGAAACTTCTACTGATATGGTCTTTATTTCGTGGAAAATTTGTGTATGGTGAAATTGAAGGTTAAATTTGTTAATTTCATAAACAATGAGGGGGGTTTTAGTGCAAATAAAACCATCTTATCACGGGCTCGCCGTGAGTTGTGTTCACGGAATAGCCGGCCCGGGGACATGGCGTGGACTCCATTGCTACTTCTTGCTTGCTTTTCAATCACATGATCCATTAATCCTTCCCCAAAAATGTAATCTACTAATTGATGGCAAAAATACATGGTTTTTTCTTAAACTGCATTTTCATTACCCAATATTAATACTTGTACGTTTCGAACCTGGGGTTGTTTAAATCTCAAATCATCACTGTGTAAAAATTGATGTTGGCGTGGACCACATGAATTACTTGGTTATCATAGTAACGAAAAAAATCATAATAAATAGTTACTGATAGACATACATGATTTGTTTTGTTGAGCGAAACTATAAAATAGATTGGTACCATTAAGTCGTGGAGGTAGGAAGTTATTGGGAAAGCTAGAAAGGAGATGGAGGAGCTTACAATCAAAATAAACGACATTGACCTCTTGGCTGAGAAGAGACTGGTTAATAATGAATTGCTTAAAAGTCGACAGAATGCTTACCAAAAAAATCATGGAAATCGAATCCGGGCGCATTGAGGACCTAAAGCAAAAGTCTAGAACCAAATGGGCTCTAGAAGGTGATGAGAACAGTGCATTTTTCCATGGTTAGATTAATAAGCACCAAAGATCTCAGAGGATAAACGGTATTAAGGAAAATGGTTTCTGGATAACCGATCCTGCTGACATCAAGGAGAGGGTAATTAAGCACCTTGCCGAGAGATTCGCTAAGCCTATTAAATCGCGCCCTAAATTTCTCAGCTCAAAATTCATGGAACTTCCCCCCCTATGCGATTGAGTTCTTAGAAGAGCCTTTCTCTCTCGAAGAAATCAAATCAGCTATCTGGGCGTGTGGCTCGGACAGGGCTCCAGGGTCTAACGAATTCTCTTTCGCTTTTCTAAAAAAACATTGGGAGGTGATTGGTGGTGATTTCTACCTTGCAGTGAAGCATTTTGAAGCTACACGGCTCATAGAAAAAGGATGTAACTCATCCTTTATCACTCTTGTTCCAAAGGTTCAAGACCCGATCACGATAAACGATTTCCGTCCTATCAGCCTAATCGGATGTTTATATAAAACAATCTCAAATGTCTTAGCTAAACGGTTGAAAAAGGTGGTACATTTTGTGGTCAACACAACACAAACAACTTTCATTAAAAACAGAAATATCCTGGATGGGCCTCTTATCCTTAATGAAGTCATTAGCTGGTTAAAGAAGAATAAAAAGAAAGCTTTCACGTTTAAAAGTGGACTTTGAAAAGGCTTTCGATAGTCTTAGTTGGGAGTTCCTAGACTCAACCATGCAACAAATGGAATTTAGGGCTAAATGGCGAGCATGGATTCGAGGATGCTTATCATCAGCAAGGGTCTCGGTCATTATTAATGGGTGACCCTTTTATTTTTTTAAAAAGACTTTTTAAACTCTAAAAACATGAATTTGTACCCTTTAAAGGAAAAAAAAAGTCACGAAGGACCATTTAAACAAATACGAAACATTGTTGGGCTACAATGATAATAACCCTTTTTAGAAATCCATAGTATTTAATGATATGGATGGTTATGCACGTATCCTCTTCTTTGAGTTTGAATGGGCCTAAGAGGCCTGGCTTACACAACTTTTTTACATTTTCTAACATAATACCTCACAAATTAATTACCATTAGCGAGCATTGGATTTTTTGCGAGTAATTATTTAGCACGTCTAGTACGTATCTATGGTTCTTATGCTAGATGTCTCGAGTTATATTCTTTGAAGTCTCTTTTTTCAAAGAATACCCATGCGGGATTTAGATGCTGTTTGTGCTTTTAAAAAACCTCTTCAAACCACTTTCTGCTGCGCGACACAACACACACGCATCACTTTCACTCTCGCAGTAGTTTGGAAGACTTCAGACTGCAAAACCTCTGTGCGTGTGCTTCGTGGCGCAGCACTTGACTTACGTCTTCAGCTTTCATTTTTTTGAATTGTTTTTTTAGAATTTTGGTATAAGTTATTTTTTTTAACTTTTTTTTTTTTTTTTTTTTTAATTTTAAACTTAGATTTTTTTTTTTAACTTTATTTACAGATTTGATACAATTTTTTATTATAGTTTCCACAAATTTTTTTGAACTTGGTTTAAAAAAAAACTTTAATTTTTTTACCGTTTCTGTTAATAATATTTTCAGTTCAATTTCATCTTTTTTAATGTGTGTAATTTTTTTACGAACTTTGTAGATATCATTTTCAATTCTTTCTTATTTTTTTTTTATTATTTTCTTTTTTATGGTTTTTAAAATTAGTTTTTTTATAGAATAAAGTTTTTAGCTTCTTTTATATTTTTGTTTTTTACATTTTCTTTTTAGTCATCTTTCAATATTTTAAGACTAGAATTATTTAAATTTCGGTGTTGAAAACTATTTTCAGTTTATAAAATTAGTTTATTTAAATTTCAGTTTACTGGAGATGTTAAAAAACAAACATGCTTCTTATTATGGGCTGCAGCTGTTTGTTCCACCTCTTATGCTACAGAGGATTGCAGAGATGGTCCGCAGACTTCACGAATTTTCGCTTCATAAAAACAAACAACACCTTATATTATTTTAATGGGCACAACATTTTTATTTGACAACAACAACCTAGCATAACTGGTTAGTGTTTATTGTCCTTATGATAGAGGCCACAAGTTATAACCTTGGAAGTCACAATGTTTATTGTCCTTATGATAGAGGCCACAAGTTGTAACCTTGGAAGTCACGTTTTTCTAAACTCTAAACAATACACAAACCTGATTTATTACTTATAAGGATTTGGATTTATTTATTTGCAAGTAACTATTTAGCATATGATGGCCATTTCATGGAGGTCATGAGTTCTAATCCTAAAAATCTTGTTTTTGCTACGGCTAAGAGGTATGGTTTTGAGATTATTACGCGTTTTAGGCTGCCGCATCATCTAAAAATCCACTCCACTACATGTTTACTAGCAATGGAGATGGTGTTCACTAAAGAACAAGAGAGAAAAAGAGAAAACAAAAAGAGAGATAGAGAGAAACAGATAAATGATTTGGAGACATTTTTTGATTGGTTGTGAGAACCCATGACCACTTTCAATCCTCACCACATTTACACCTATTGGCAGGACCGGTCTAGACGGTGGGCAACCCGGACGATTGCCCATGACCCACGTCTCTAGGGGGGGCATAATTTATGGGCTATATAGTGTATATATATAAAAAAAATTATTACCTAAATGATTTTAGGGCCTAAAGTTAGTTCAAATTCAAACTAACTAAAAAAATAAACAATTTAACTTGTTTTTTATTGCTAATTGAATGCGTTTATAATAAAGAATAAATGATATTTTTTTGAATCTTTATTATATTTATCTTTAAGGGATAATTTCTTTATTTTATCCCATGACTGCATATACGTTTGGACTGACCCTGCCTATTGAGGGTGGTGTCCACGCACGATAATCCCCTCCACGTAGATGTTTACATGCCGAAACACCCCATTCACCATGGCTAAAAGTCATGAGTTCTTGTTTGTTTCTGATTGTAAAAAAAAAAAAAAGAGAGAGTTGTAATAATCCAACTCAAAAGCTCCAAACAACATATCACCTTAACCAATTGTTCTAACTTCCACTGGTAAAAAGAATTTAATGCTTAGAAGTGCAAATATTAATTAATTTGTAAGAAATTAGGTCAGAAAAATAAATGAGTTGCTGTATAGGACAAACCCACTCGCGAAATTTGCAAAGGTAAGTAATCATTCTTTAATATTGAAAAAAAAAAGATAGCCATATATGTAAGTAACTCTATTTGTTCAAAATATAGTCACTGCTTGATAGTTTGATCACCCATCCAATTTGATCAATTAACCGATTAACCTAATTCATAACATCAATCACAACAAAATCCATTTGTTAAACGGTGAAAAATATGTATACGTATTATCCTTTTTCTAAAATATCATAGACATCATTATAGTTACACTTTTACAATTACTTTGATGTCTCATTTATTTGTATGCATTTCTTGGTACATTTGTTTTATGGATGATCAATCAATTAGCATTTTATCGAATTAAGAAAAAAAGACCTCGAACTCAAAACTTAAAACTTTAATGTATGTAATCAACTTTAGCTTTAATTACCATGATTTACTTTTATTCCGAGGTTTAACTAGGGTTTCTACAGGATCCCCTTTCGTCATCATCTCTCTTGTTCTCTATCTATTCTGGTACTAAACCACTAGTACAGCAGTGACTCAGTGAGAGTGAGAGGGTGTTTTCCTTCGATCCATTTAAGGCGCCATTTCTCAGTTGTTGAGGCACATTACCTGATTACATTCTTCTAATGCCGCTGGATCACCAAATCCGTACCCACGTCCGAAACCGGACCCGCACTCGCCGTCGCTCCGCCTGTCATCGCCATCCTAATGAACCTGTCACCAATTTCTGCGCATTGTGTCTACGAGATCGCCTCGCCGGTCTAGACTCTTCTACCGATCAACTCGAACTTGAGCTTGAACGTGAAACTATTATCTCATTCCCCTTAAGTCGCCGGACCAGAGGCCATGCCGGTGCTTCATCGTCAGGAGCTGTACCTGAACTAAGACGGAGCAAGTCTGTAGCGGCTGAGAAATGTGAGGTTTTGAATGGATCGAGTCTGGATCTGCGGCGGAAGTCGTGTGATGTAAGGGGTTGTAATAGGCTATCGGATCTGTTCGACATCGATGATACGAAGATCGGACGGAATGGACCTGTGAAGGTTCAATCAAAGAATATAGGGTTTTCCGGCATTCCAGAGCAGCTGTTAGAGATAGACGAAGATAATGGTGGTTCCAGTGGAGTTAGGATTTCAGATGATTTGTTTGTGCGGGATGAGATCGGAGAGGAAACGGATTTGAGAACGATGAAGGAACATATCGAAATGGAGTTGCAGAACAAAAAGAGGAATTTCTGGGATGCAGCTTCGGGTTTCAGTCAGAAGCTACGGAAATGGAGGCAAAAGCATAAGGAGAAGAAGCAAATCGAGGTCTGCAATGCCGGAGCTGATAATAACAGATCAAATTTGGAGCAATCTAAGGATCCTCAAATCCAATCTGAGCTTCCAAGCTATGTACTGGGAAGAAGATCTTGCGATACAGAACCTAGATTCTCCATTGATGTACATCGTATGTCTGTAGAAGATCCACGATTTTCATACGAAGAACATAGGGCTTCTTGGGATGGATACATGATTGCAAGAACAATCCCTCGGCTTACACCTATGCTCCCCATCGTTGATGATCTCATGTTGCCTCCTGTAAACACCGGAATCACAGTGAGTAATCAACAAGTTCAACGGATCAAGGAAGAGGGTTCAAGCTCTGGCACATCAGCTCAGTTTAATTCCGACACTTGTTCTTCAAATACAGAAAGTAGTTCAAGCTCAATGAAGAGTTCTAGTTCCAAAACAACACGATTTCGTGGTGATGATATGAAATCTGCTTCAAATGGTCAAGAAACAAAGTTGGTGATAACCGAGAGAGAGTTAAAAGATTGGCATTTGAGTTCTGTTAAAGCTTCAAATGGATCCATTTCTACTTCTACTACAGTTAAGAAGGGGCAGAAAAAGGAAATGGGTAATAGATGGAGAAAGATGTCTAATCTATGGAGCTATAAGTACAAACCTGGCGACAAAGGTAACAAAGATTCTATCAATGGAGTTTGTTTGAATCAAAACAATGACATCAATGGAGTTGACAAAGGGGATTCAAATTCAAGTGGTAAACTAGTTAGAAATAGTAGCTATGTGGGTTCAAGAAACAAAAGTGAATTACATCACATTGGTGAAGAAGGTGGTAGGCATTCTATGAGTGATCTTGACAGCAGTTTGCTAAAGCTGCATCTGCCACCATTTGTGAAGTCCAGGAAGAAACTGCTTCCACCAATGGCGAATATTTAGAGGTACTCTCACCAACTCTTTAAGAGGAGTATCAATGTAGCATAGCCCTGTAGAGCTTGTTAATTTGTTCTTCTTTTCTTTGTTTATTTGCAAAAAGCATAGCATAATCTTAGTGTTCTTATGCTTGGTGCTTTATTTTGATGCAATAATATAAGTTGAAGTTTTACTCTTAATATATTACAGATTTGATGATTAATTACTAACTAACAAATACAAATACAAAGGAATTACATTCTCACGATATATGAGTTTTTACTTGTATGCCACTTAGCAACAACCACAAAAACCCCAAGATTCACCACATTCAAACCACCCAAAAGCCAAAAAAACTTGTGTAATTCCCCATAATTCAAAGTATCCGGAATCCAACCTGGCCCACCACCTTCGGTAGTCACTTTTATAACAACACTCACAAGTAAAGAACTGAAATAACTCCCTAAAGCAATCGTCATTAGTCGCATAGCTGACCCCAAACTACTCATTGAATCAGGCACTTCCTCATTAAAAAACTCCATCTGTCCCACAAGTGTAAACACTTCCGCACAACCAATAATTAAAAACTGTGGAACCTGCCAAAATATGGAGACTGGGACAGGTTTGGTTTCATAGTAATTGTGTCTTCTAACGATGTCTAGTCTAACGAGTTCCAAGATTCCGGCTGTTGACATTGAAAAGATTGAAATGAAGTGGCCAGTTCCTATTCATTGGAGCAGGGTTAGTCAGTTTGGGTGACAGGTGAGTTTTCGGGCAAGTGGGACGATGATTTGGTCGTAAAGTGGGACCCAGATTATGACGCTTAGGGTACCAAATGTACCTATTGAGGCTGGTGGGATTTTGAAACTTGTGTTAGGGATTTGGGTATCCATGAACAAGCATTGTAGGATGAATAGATTGTCTATTTGGCCACGTATGGTGCTGAATATGATGCCTGTGATCCAAATCGGTAGTAGACGTAATACGGTTTTCAGTTCTTCAACTTGGGTAACTGTGCAAAGACTCCATGGGTTCGTTGATCCTTTTGTGTGATCCGTGGGGGAGCTTCACTGCCGCTTTGTCTAAAAATCTAAAACCAAGAAAGTTCAACCGTATAAGATTAACATCCCCATACGCACGTACCAAGAGGGTAACCTAACACGAGTACTTCCCTGGGATTTGCTATTGCCCAAGAACACTTAAGTAATGTAGAGTTCTCATGGGATCTGCTGCCTTCACAACTTTAAAACACATCATGGAAAGAAAAGGTATCCACACCCTTATCACCAATCTCACATATCACATAGACAGAAAGTCATTCAAAAAACAACTTACGAGGGTGGTGGGTACTATCCTTTCAAGACACGTTTTAAGACCGTGAGGGCATCAGATCCCATGAGAACTGTATAGTTAAGCGTGCTTGAGCGAAAACAGTACAACATCTTGGTAGGTGCATTTGGGGATGTTACAGATTTTGTCCACTTTATTAGAGTTTAGAGAATAGATATCAACCTGAAATTTCTTGTATGATTAAGTTTAGTTGTAGAATTAGCATGATCATGAATCTCATACAAAAGCGATGAATCCGGTGGGATGTTGATTCTTTTCTTTCTAAAAGAAGCAACAACCACTTGGAAGAAACGTGTGAAAGGGCTACCTTTGGGTTTATGTTTCCTATAAAACCAAGTACCAGAAAAGAAACAAAATACGGACATTCCCATGGCTAAAGTAGGAATCCCAACCCACATTATCTTGTACCCATACTATCAACGAACAAGCAACAAGGGTCCCGATATTCATCATCTGATAATACCAATTAAAAAAAGAACTCTTGAGCTTTTTTTCAGCCTTGTCATTATCATCAAATTGATCTGTGCTCCATAAGCCGACACACATGCCTTGATTCCTCCACTTGCAATTGCTACCAAGCAAAGCGCTGTGAAGCACACTATGGTTTCAGCTTTTGTTGCATCACAAATGTTTGTTTTGGAGCATGTTGGCATTAGTTGAGGCATTGTAGCTGATAATGTCAACAATGTCATCCCCTAAAATTAAATAATAGAATAGTGGTTAACTTATTTGTGATTTCATTATGTTGTAATAGGAGTATAATGTGATGTATACAAACTATTTGTTTTTCTGGATTGAACCAACGGTCTGAATTGGAGTAAGTGACCATTTTACCCTTGTGTATAGAAGTGATATTAAATAACAAATGACTGTTCTGTTATAAAGCATGTTTATTGTAAAAAAAAGAAACTTAAATAAGTAGACTTACAATGGCATACAAGATAGAAGAGGTTGCTATTGTCCAGTATTTTCCAATATAGCCATCAGCAACAAATGCTCCAAATAATGGGGCAATGTAGCAAGCCCCAGTCCAATTTGATAAATTTCTTGAGGCTGTAGCACTGTGTTGAACTGTTGATTGAGTTCAAGCTTTAAAATACAGCAACAAATTTGAACTCATCCCAAAAAACACCAATCTTTCAAGACTTGCAGTTGCTGCAATAAGTGTTACAAAATCTTTTTAAGTAGTGGTATTTTCTTTCATATATACATAAATGGATAAAGAAAATATGAAAGTGGATGTATGTAAGTACCAACTACAAAGAAACATGCTTTCCAGTTTCCTGTTTTTAACTTGTTAGCTGGGCTGTTGAGGTAATCCACTGTTTCATCTCTAGTGTACAACACACAATCTTCTCCTTTGGTCTCAAGCAAAACATAAGTTTTGCTTTCATCATCTAGATGAGATAAGTAAGAGTCAAATCATTTCTAAAATCAAGTAAATAGCCTAAACTGATCATTTGTAGTAGTTTAAAAGTCACTGGATTATTAACATAATCATAGTAAGATAAGAACAGGTGCTATAAGATAATAAGAATCAACTTCAAAACCTCATCTTTGCATCCAAAAACTTAGCAAAATTTTGGGGGAAATGCAGTTAGTTATATACTGGTTCTGTTTATAAAATCAGATGCAAATTTGAAGAAAGAGAAAGGAAAAGAATACTAGATTTGAGGAAGCTAAATTCATTGCACTGAACACGAAGGAGCTACATTCTGGAACCAATTCACATTTTGCACTTCAAAACCAGAATGCGATTCATACAAACTCCGCAAACCCTAGAAGATGTACGCTATACAATTTACGTAATATATATGAAATACAAACAGGGACCCTAAATTAACAACAAAATCAGTATGAAATCGCATCTGGAAGCAACACGTCTGAAATGCAAAGTAAATAATACAACGCATCTGAAGTGGATGTGTACGCAAATTTAGTAGAAGTATTCAGCAAACAGTTGCTACATTTCGCCCAAAGTCAAATCAAACAGAGAGAAAGCACACATATTTCTGAGAAAAAAAAAGGTATCAAAAGTCGGAAGACCTGAAGTGATGAGGGGAGGAGAATTTTGCGCCATGAATGGGTGAAGAGAGAGAAAAGATGTGGTTGGTATGTTGAGTGATGGAATACGAAGACGATGATACTGGCGCCATTGCTGCAAATGCAGTGCAACCTCTCCAATTATTAGCATACATTTGTTTCTTTTTGGCAAATATATGTTTTACAAAATTGTTGCATACGTGTTTTTTTGGATAATAAAAGATGATGATATCATTATGTAAAAACAAAAAAAAAAAAACGAATTTCTCAAAAAATGACTTTACAAAATAAATGGTATTTTAATATGGTTATTTTGTGATACGAATGGTTAATTCTTTAATTTTTTTAAAGATATAAATAATCATTTGTTAAGAACTTATGTGTTCACTAATTTTTATCCAGTTCATGTTATTAAGGATAAAAATGTTACATATATACAATTGTTACTTTATAATTTTGAATACGATATTCGTCAAAAATGTATAGATATGAGAAAATGATATACTACTGTATTGTCTCATTTTGGTTTCGTCGTAGATTTTGATATATAGAGAGAAAATCTTAGAGAAAGAAAGTTCAAGGAGTCCAAAATCACATAAAATGTTAAACTACAAGGATTTAGAGAAGATTAATGAGATCAACATATTGGAAGGGTTTGCATATCTTGCGGGTAAATTGACTTAGATCAAGATATGAATTAATATTTTGTATTTTGAAGCATTAAGGGGTTAGATACATTAATATGAGTTAAGAGAGAAGGGTTTTTTTTTTTTTTTTTTTTTTTTAATTTTTTTAATTTTTTATTTTTTTAAAGCAAAGTTACTCGAATAGCAAGTAGCTAAGAAAACCATACAAAAGTGATACAAAGAGCGATACATGGAGCTTACATAGAATGAGACGGTGAGAACATCCATTCCTCCGATTACAAATCTCTTCCCTGTCCCAACACTTAATTTACAGTGGTGTTTGCAGTGCGGTTTTGTATCAACCCGCAAATCGTATTGTGAATGTTTCAAACCGCGTTATATGGTGTGGTTTGGTAAGGACGATTTATGTGGTTTTTGTGCAGTTTTATTAACATTAATATTTTTAATATTATGTATTTTTAGTTCTATGTATTAAACTAAATTTAATTACTTATATTATAAGATTTTGTACATAAACTTTATATATAAATATAGTAGTTTAAGTTATCAACATAAGTTCGCCTTATCATACAAATAACTTAAAGCAAAATTGTTTACAAAATAAAAGCACCAACCCTCATTACTTCCAAATTCATTAGTAATCATATTCTCCTATATGCTTCTATGTTATTTTTATGTGTTTGTAATTTTAAACAAATAATATATATATATATATATATATATATATATATATATATATATATATATATATATATATATATATATATATAGAGAGAGAGAGAGAGAGAGAGAAGTGGTTTCAATAGAAAATTCATAATTAAGACAACATATGCTGAAATCAATGATCAAGTGATACGTGTTTATTTTTTAATCATAAGTAATGTACTGTAATAGTTATTTATTTATGTAGTTTACTCTAAACTAATGTGGTATCATGTTTTCATTAGTTTCAACATGTATTATCCTAATAATGTATTTTCCATAGAACACACACATATATCACAACAAAAACTATAGCCTTTAGCGGCGACACATGTCGTCGCAATTGATGACCTCTCGACGTCGCTAATACCTGTAGCGACGACATGTCGTCTCTAAAGGGTCATCGTTTTTACCTCGTAGCTAATACTCATTTTTCGTCGCAAATACGGTCGTCTCTAATACTCCTGTAACGTCGCTATTGATGTCGTCTCTATTGATATTCCGGCCACCGGCCATAGTTTTTCCGACAAAACTTTTCGGAGTTATGTGTCGTCGCAATTAGTCCACGTCGTCCCTATTTTTTTTTTTTGAGAAAAAACATATTTTTTATGATACTAGTTTATATATATATATATATATATATATATATATATATATATATATATATATATATATATATATATATATATATATATATATATTATAAAATGCAGATATATACATCAAATTTTACATCTAAATTCATATAAACATTCTTAAATTTTACATATAAATTCATTACAAACATACAACAGTTTCACACACACACACACACATATATATATATATATATATATATATATATATATATCAATTTTAAATATAAATTCATCAATTTATACATGATCAACAAGTGAAACATATTAATTTACATATAAATTCATCAATTTATACATGATCAACAAGTGAAACATATCAAACTAATCAAACTAACATGTTCCTGCATACAATAGTTTCCATCAATTTCACAGTTAATAGATTCCATCAATTTTACATATACATTCAAACAACTGAAACAAATCAAAATAATCAAACTAATATGCAATAGTTTCTATCAATTTCACAGTCAATAGTTTCCATCAGTTTAACATATACATGCAAAATTCATACAATGATTAAGATATCCACATGCATACAATCCATATTCAGAAGTGACATAGATCAAACTAACATGTTCTTGCCCGGAAAAACGAAGCAACACTCGGTGGTGAAGCTACAATCAGTGGTATGCTGGAACTTAAAAACAGTAAAAAAAATTCAGGTGTAATCGGAATCGGTGGTGATTATATGTGTTCAGAAAAGAAAAGAAAGAGAAATGGGTAGAGAAAACAAACCTCGTCGGAGATACCACGTCGAAATTGAAGGTACAGTCGGCAATGGAGGTGGCAGTCAGATTTGGAGGTTATACTGGTGGTGGGAGTCGGCTTTGGAGGTCAATCGCCGGTTGAGAGCAGTGGTGTCACCGGTGATGTCGCAAATCGTTGCCGGATAGAACATTTAGCGAAGTCGCAATTGAAGTTGCATAAGAAATGGAGTATCGAAAGACGAAGCTGAACAAAAGGGGCGACCACAATAGCGGCGACAAAGGGGCTATTTGCGGAGACATACTGGAGGGAACTGAACGTGCCCTTTCTGAAGATCACCAACCGTTGGATCAGGTGAGAATCGTAGGGCCAGGATTTGGTCCAAGCCTCCAAGGTTGGTCAACGGACCGAGACCTATAGCGGTGACATATCGCCTCTAAAATCGCCGCCTCTGTTGCCTTTCACAGGAACAAACCCTATCCGTTGAATTATCTGCTGAACCAAGGGCCAGTATTGAAAGGGGGCACATCTAGTCTAGTGTTGCTGCTATTGATCTTGTCGTCGCAAAAAGTGACGTCCCTAATACTCCCATTCTTGTTGTGTGTGTGCGTGTGTGTTTGTGTGTGTGTGTATATATATATATATATATGTGTATATATATGATGTGCAGTTTGAACCGCTGTTTCATAATGGGAAACCACAAACCGCACCACATAATGCAGTTTAACAGAATTTCAAACCGCAAATTGCACCACACTAGTTCTAAACCACATAATGTGGTGTGATTTGGTATAGTGTGAGTGATTTATGCGGTTTGATGCACACCTCTACTTAATACTATGCACCCCTTTACAGGATTAGTAAACACCTGTTGAAATATCCTCTCATTTATGAATTTCCAAAGACTCTATAAGAGGCCATAACAAACAACTGCAAGTCTTTTTCTTTTCCGAGGGTAGCCTCCTGGATTGTTTGCGAAACTAAGAAGGTCTCCGATGTTGCTGATATTCAAATGATTTAAGCAGCACTAGTGATTTTTTTTTCACAAACATATCTCGTAAACAAGCAATCCACAAGAATGTGATCAACGCACTCAATACGACCAATGCAAGCACTACAACAAGTTTGTAATGTCCCAAATTTTCACAATAAAATTTTCATTTTTAAAACCAGGATAAACATACAAATCCAATTTGAAAACATAATATATTAACCATTGTTTCAAAAAAATCATATTAAGAGAGTTGTATGACAAACACCAACGGAAGTTAATAACACTAAAACTTTGATGCGAATAAAAAGTCACATCGCGCCCCTTTCTCGAACAACCTGAGAAATGCTAAACTTAACAATGTAAGCATAAAGCTTAGTGAATTCCCAATTATACCACATATTTTACCATACATACATTACATAAAAGCAAGACTCTCAACTTTAAGTCTGATCCACAACAATCCTTATCATACATATGTATCAACATACATAACAACCATTGGCACCCTATCCGAATCTTAACCATCGATTGACATCGACTCTCAGTCGTCATACAACCATTGGCTCTCGACCGTCCATAACCATATCATGGCTATTACTAATATTGGCAGGTCGTCTTATGAATGCATAATCATACATAGCTAAAATAAGATAGACAATCAAAGAGATGATCCTACCCGATAGCAATAAATCAGACAAGAACCATTCGATGAGGCCTAGAACAGAGTTCACAAGCTATCCAATTACTATGTACAATCCCTACGATATTCACTTAGCGATAAACCAATACTAAAAATACACATCCAATTACGACACATGATAGTATCATACAATCAATCAATCACATACATAACAAATATTACTTAGTTTACAAGCATAACATACCCTAGTGGTACATATATTCTAACATACAAGAGATAAACAATATCATACATAGTATAGTGAGAAAACTCACATTAATCTAACAAGCAAAATTATAATATGTGCAGATTCAGGCTAGTCAATTAAGATATTATGAGCAATAAAATAAGTTTTTGATAGATGATTATTTAGGATAAATAATATTAACTAAAATTATAGTATATGTGATAAGGATTCCATACATATAAAGAACTCTGAAATCCGACTTCGTATGAAGAAGTTATGCTTCTTTGAAGTTTCGAGATTAAACCGGCACGACTCTGCATATCGAAGAAAGTGAATTTTTGATAAATTATTTTTTATCCTAAATGATCTACACAAAATTCATAGTAGTTGTTAAACCGAGAGCGTGCATATAGAGAACATCCAAATCTGACTTCGTAAAAGAAAGTTATGATTTTTCGAAGTTTCATCACAACAATGCGGGTACATAAATCGAAATTCTAATCGGTTGATTGTTAGACGAAACAATATAAATGAGAACTAAAGATATCGTGAATGTGAACTTGTCTATAAAAATACCGTTGAGAATGGAGTTCATATGA